GAGAGAGAGAGAGAGAGAGAGAGAGAGAGAGAGAGAGAGAGAGAGAGAGAGAGAGAGAGAGAGAGAGAGAGGAGGGAAAGGAGGTGATCGAACTTCGAAGTACCGGGCAGAGCTGCCGTCGAGACGGTAGCTGGCAGGAAGAATTCGGGAGCTTCGCTAAAGGAACAGGCGTGCTGGAGAAACAACCGCCAGGGAGAGAGAATGCACAGGGGAGGAGGGAAGGGATGTGATCGAAGTACCCCACCTGGCTGAACTGTAGTCTCACGCCGTCGGGACGCTAGCTGCCAAGAAGAACTCAGGAGCTTCCTCGATGGAACCGGCGTGCCGGAGAAACAGCCGCCACTTAAATAGGCCAGACTCCTTGAGCGATTACTGTCAACATAAGAAGAGCAGCTCGTGGACCCGCCTTCTACCCCGCCGAGAATCGCACGACAATCATAATGCAGAGCAGAAAAAGAAGAAGGAGAAGAAGAGGAAGAGGAGGAAGAAGGGGAAGAGGAGGAAGAAGGGGAAGCGGAAGATCCAGCCAGCGGAACACGCGACGCCTGGCGCTTCGTGGCGGCGCTCAGGCTACCGCTAGCGCTGCATGACGTGACGCGCCCCGCGAACGATGCTGCGGCAGCGCTGGACACCGCAGCAGGAGCAGCAGCAACAGCAGCAGCCGCCATCGCGAAGCTTCAGCGAGAGAAAGACAGGCAAGGAGAGAGGAGAGAGGAGGAGGAGGAGGAGGAGGAGGAGGAGGAGGAGGCGGAGGCAGTAAGACGTGATCACCACGACGCACGCGAGAGCACGAGACGGCGATGGTTGATATCACAACTATGCCGGGATACGACAATTATGCCCCTGTGAGGAACCGTTGGCCAGACCGCGGCACGACTTGCTTCACACCCCGCCGATTGGGCAATGGGCGTCGCTCCATGCACTTGGTCTCTTTTCTGGACCAGGTCTCGTACGGACGAGTCCCAACATTTTGACCGAATCCGGTCAAGAAAAGCATCCAGGTGCATGTAGAGTGTCGTGCAGTGAAGCGAGAGCCAATTTCGCAGAGAGAGAATAAGAATAAATAAAAATAATCGCTTTTCGAAACCCCGCGCAAAAACCACATTCCCACTGGACCCCGCCGAATACTCCGCCGGCCGCGACCGTCCGCTCCCTGCGTAATCCACTCGTCCAGTCGGTTGCGAAATATGCAAAAAAAAAAAAAAAAAAAAAAAAAAAAAAAAAAAAAAGCCAAAACTATCTCCGTCAAGATGGACCCACAAATTACGAACGATGCCCAAGGGTATGGTGTGCACTTGGTCGATAATTCGCTCACGTGAATTCTGTTTCGTCCTCCGAAGCATGATGCTTGGGCCATCATGCTGTCCAATTCCGTCCTTCATCCTGTAATTAATAATTTCATTGTGCGGTGGGAAAGCAACGATGCCTTTCTTTTCTTTTTTTTTTCTTTTTCTTTTTTCTTTTTTTTTATGCCTTTCTTTTATTTATGCCTTTCTTTTTTGTTTTACCCTTGAGATATCATCGTGAAACTTACCGGCCCCTCTGGTTGGTTTGATTTGGGCATTTCGCTCGTCTGCCACGCTGGATTCGAACTCACGTGTGCAGAAGAGGAGCCACCTTAAGAAAAACAAAAAAAAGCGAAAAAAACAAAAGGCGAGTCGACAACGGTTCAGTTTGGCACCCAAAAAAAACGTAGGACACGAGAGAAGAGCGAATCGAATCGACGACGGTTGATCCGTCAAGCGCGCGCACCTACGGAACGGATAAGGTATAGGGAATGCCGGAGAGACCGCGGCGCTTCAGCACACAACCCACATCACGTACCTCTATCTTTCCCTTTTTTTTCCCTTTTTTTTTTTTTTTTCTGTTTTCTTTGTAAATCAGCCCCATGGAACAGATTGAGATGCTGGTAGGAGCAGTCGCCTCAAGCTATCCGGGGCAAGGTCCCACTTGCACAGATTAAGAGATTCTGGCCGTTGATCTTTGTTATCTACGGTCAATGTCGCTTAATTCGTGTAAGTGGGACCTAGCCCCCGGGTTGGCTCCATCTATTGGTGGGGAATCGGGCCCAGCGTCCCTTATTACAATTCTTCAGTATAGTATCCATATCGAAGCCAATTGGACCCTGTAGGGGGAGTTGCTGCGATGACCGACCGGAGGCCGGTACTAATATGCAGACTGAGATGCCTAATGCCTAACATTGTTGTCCGACCTTCCCCCCTGTAACTTATTGACAAGTGCTGCTCATCTTCGTTTATATAGTAAAAGGACACTCAGCTTCTAAATCTCGAGGGAAAAAAAAAAAAAAAAAAGGCTCCTAAGCCTCGAGACCTTTGATGCTAAAAGCTCATAGACTTTGAGCCTCCTTATGGTCCACTCTTCGCCCATGAAATAGGGTCTCGCCGCACGAAACGAAAACGAGAGGAGTGCATCTGGCCACGAAAGGTGTCAAATACACTCCTTACTATTTATAGCAAACCTATGAACCTGGCCATTTTCTGCAGGAAGATGCACTGGTTTTGTTTTCCGAGCACGATGCCCATAGTCTGTTAGGTTGGTCCTGGATGTATGTCCTGCTTGAGTTCTTGTTATTGTCCCCGAGGTTGTAGCCTGTGAGTGTTATCCACTGCCTACATTGAAGATCTGACTCCATCTGTTCGCTGGCTTCTTGGCAAGTGAAGGCCTGGAAAACTGCCGTAGACTTTATCCTGTCGTTCCTGGTTGAGGCAAGGGAAGTGGGGTGAGGGGGGTGGACTGGGGAGACTGGGGGGTCGGGCGCAGGCGTTTGAGAGAAGGGTACGGGTGACGGTGGTGCGGTGGTGAATTCGGTACGAGGATGAAGTTAGTTTGCATGAATGGGATTTGGAAGTCCTGAAGGGGTTTCCTGCTCCATACGTGTTCGGTGCACCTCCAGGGCTTCCAAGTGATATTCAGTTCGGCGTCTATCTCACTGAACAGCTTGAGAGGGTCCTGCCATGTCTGCAGGTAAGTATCCCTGATGGTCAGTCTGGCCTGTGGCTCCTCACTTCGGTATTGGTGTTTCATGGTCTTCCAGGCTTCATGTGTCTGAGTTCTAATCACCTCCTCCAATGTTTGCAGGGCCTGCTGTAGTCCGAATTGGTGTTCCTTCCTTCCGTGTATCGGACCGCATGTACGGCCCGACCTGGACGCATCTGACCGCAACCACGCACATAAACAAGTGAAGGGAGGCAAAGGCAAAGGCAAACTTTTCTTCTTTCTTTGGGGCTCGTTCGACATTCCTCGGGCGCCTAAAGTCCCCGAGGAATTGTTCGTTCCACTTATCCTCGGGGGTGCAGTCGAAAAGAAAAAAGTGAAAACACTCTGAAGGAAATTCCTCGGGCTCCGAGGATTCCCCAGCCATTTCTCCCTTTTGCCCAAGGGACCTCACGAGGTCCCTTGGGCAAAAGGAATCTGCTTTTCACGGAGAGAAGCGGGCACACGCGTAGAGAGACGTTACAACCGAGAATCTGGATCGTGGCGGCACCCTACTGGCTGAAGGCCTTAAGCACTTTTTTTTTTTTTTTTCCCTTTTTTCTTTTCTGACATCGCTCCAAGGAAACGTCCTCGGGCGACGTCCCCGAGGACAGGTGGAACGAAGGGCCCAAATTTCCTTTTGACTAAAAGGAACTTTTCCTCGGGCTCCAAGGACGCCCCAAGGAGTGTCGAACGAGCCCCTTTTTTCCCTTTAAATTTGGTAATTTTCTCGAACAAAAGTGAAGTGTTCAGGGCATGGGGTCTCGCTCCACTACTCACCACATGCACAAAAGACAAGAAAAAATATAAGTATCTTCCCATGTTCTAGGGGAAGATTCATTCTCATCTTACTCGCACTGGGACCACCACAGGTTGCAAAAAACGCTACATTTGGTACTCCTTTGCGACTTTTGCGCGGCCGGCCAGTCACACGAAACAGAGGTCATGACCGACTCCGGGCATCGCCACACGAGTCTCGAAATGTGCAAAACGGGAATGAATCTCCTGCTACAACACAGCCAGATGCACCCGCCAGATTGTTGTCTTTTTCACATTTCACAAGAGTAGTGTGGCAAGGCCCTTTGTTGCATTCATCAATGTCCATCAGGATTACTAACGAGGCTACCTCAGTTGGTACACCCAAGAAGCTTTCTTTTCACTTGCACTGATGGCTCACTGCATTTCATGCAGGCGTGGCGTCCGCTGAATCCTCCTGCTCTCGATCAACATCCCCGGACGCATATTCAGTGGCACAAGGAGGAATATTCAGCCCAAGAGTCAGCTGTGGCACAAGGAGGAAGATTAAACGGCAGTACGGAGGAGGTCTTTCTGTCAACAGAGAGACCTCACCGCAGCGACGGAGCAGCTCCTTGAGGCTACAGCTGCTGTGTCCAAAGCACATCAAGGGCCTCGCTGCACTACTCTCAAAACGTGCAAAACGAGAGTGAATCTTCCGGTAGAATATGGAAAGATACACGGCCAATGCTTGTTAAAGTGCAGGGGTACCTACAGCACACTCCATCCAACCAACAGAGCCCACACATGTGTTCTCCGTCAAAAGGTGCTGCAGGCAGATCAAATTCCCGAATTGATATGTTCCTCATCTCTTAGGAACTTGTTGGAGCATTGCCAGTGCCAGATATCGGGCGTCACTGCACTACTCTTGAAATGTGCAAAACGAGAGTCAGAGAGTGCACACTAGAATATGGAACAAGTAAAGGCGCGCCGCGGGCCATGCCCGCGGCAGAGTGCCACGAGTGGAGCAGCGAGGGTAAACAGCATCACACAGTAAGAATAGGCTCGGGGCCGAAAGTTGAATGATATGAAAGAGGTATTCAACATATGTATCTTTGTTGTTCGTTTCTCTGTTTTTTTTTCCCGTTCTTCCATTTCCCGCTGACTTTCTTTGTGAACGTGTTCTGTTTCCTCTCCTTTGTCGACCTCGCCGTTGTTCTCTCTCTCTCTCTCTCTCTCTCTCTCTCT